GTTGGAGCAGAGAACCTTATAAAACATGTCCTATAGTGGCATGATAGATGTAGATGGTGGCCCTCAAGAACGGGGATTGGACACCCCTGCTTTAAGAGATTTTCTCCAAGTGTTGTGTAGCTGGATGAACTTGGTGAACTCAGCGAAGGGTTGGGATTTTAAATGTCTCATAAAGTTGGTGCTATCAAATGTAGTTCTACAGGTGCGTCTAAAAATAAGTATACATCATGAAAAAAATCTATTTTCTCACTCGTTTCAAAAAGTGAATCTCGTATATCACATAGATTCATCACACATAGAGTGAAACATTTCAAGCCTTTATTTATTGTAGTTTTGATTATTATGGTTTACAAATGATGAGAAAAACAATCATCTTGACTTGAAGAATGAGGTATTTGTAGCTCTTGTTTTGTTTTTTAAATACAGTTTTTTGTTTGCTATTTATGATTGTCCACTGTTGTCATCATTCTTTGTTAAAATCAGGTCTCTCTTGTAAATGAGTCCCTGAGGCTCAGTGGGATTAACCTGTAGAAATAAAGGTTGAATGATAAAATGTGTAGGAGTTAATCAGCTGATTAAAGTGTGACACCAGGAGTTTACAATATTAAACCTTTTCAATATATTCACATTTTCTGAGACTCTGAGTTTTGATTTTTCACTATTTGTAAGACATAATCATCAGCATTACAAGAAGTAAAGGCTTGAAACATTTCACTGTGTGTGTGATGAATTTCACTTTCTGAAATGACTGATATAAAAATTTGAACTTTTTCATAATATTCTTATTTTTTGAGATGCACCTGTTTTGCAACCACCACCAGAAATACCTGAAATGCAGCTGCTGCAACTAAACTGCTCTCACTTTGTGCTTCCATAGTTCAGACGTGTCGGCACATTTGTGTTTATGCGTTTTCTTTTTATACTTTATATTCATTTTTTGGGGCTTTTTTAAGGTGTAAGTGGGACCTTGGGTATACAACTTCATTCCACCTCATGTACCACATGTGATACGAATGACAAAGAACCTTGAACATTACATCACAACAGCTGCTGTGAGGCAGCTGTGTTGTGGCACAGCTGTTTTAAACCAGAGGTAAAAAGTCGGCAACAAGGATCAGCAGCAATCAATGAAACATTCCTTATCTCTGCTCTGATCTAATACTTGTGATTGGCTTGAGACGTCCCTGTCTTTAAGAGATGGAAACGAATCCTACAAAGACTTGACACAAGACCTGAGAGGAGCATCATCCTTCAGCTGATCATAACTGTGTGCACAGTTTTCAGGTCTTTGTGAATGACTTTGTTGCTGCTTGTTTTCTCTGTCATTGATATTGTTTAAAACTTCAGATAATGAAGTAAGAACAAACTTCATCTTTGTGACATGCTGCTGTAACAAGGTATTGAACACCTTTCTACTTGTCAACAAAACGCTGGTCATCTCTTGAGTTTAGAAGCCTGTTTATGCCTCAGTAATTAAAAGTTTAAATGGTTTAATAAAAAAAATCATTCTTAAGAAAGCGGTCAGTTGAATCAAAACAAGTGAAAAGCATCAAAATCTAAAGAAGAAAGGGAAAATATTAAAAGCCTTTCAGAAAACATGGAGAACTCTCAATGAATCCAATCAGCTACTTAGACTACAAGCATGTCTTAAAGACATAAAAACCTGGATGACCCTTAATTTTCTCCTGTTGAACACAGACAAGACTGAGGTTTTGGTTTTTGGACCTGAGCACCTTAGGAATGAATTTTTCAGTCTTTCTCTCTCCTTAGATGACATTAATCTGTCCTCCAGCTCTAATGTTAAACAGCTTGGTGTTATTTTTGATCAGGACATGTCTTTTATCACCCACATTAAAAATGTTACAAGAACTGTCTTCTTCCACCTGTGTAATATCACTAAAATGTTTTATCTTATCTAACAATGATGCAGAAAAACTGGTTCATGCATTTATCACGTCTAGACTGGACTAACACAATGGTTTATTATCTGGGTGTCCAAATATTTATTTAAAACGTCCTCAGTTGATCCAAAATGCTGCTGCCAGAGTCTTAACTGGAGTTAGTGGGAGAGATCATATCTCTCCAGTTTTAGCTTCTCTCCACTGGCTCCCTGTCAAATCCAGAATTGAATTCAACATTTTACTTCTAACCTACAAAGCCCTCAACAACCTAGCTCCATCTTATATTACAAATCTTATTGTTCCATATTTTCCTAACAGAGCACTTTGATCTCAGACTGCAGGTTTATTCGTTGTTCCCTGAGTTTCCAAAAGCAGAATGGGAGGAAGATCTTCCAGTTATCAGGCTCCTCTCTTGTGTAACCAACTTCCAGTTTCTGTCCATGAGGCTGACACATTGTCCAGTTTTAAGACTGGGATTAAGACTTTCCTTTTTGATAAATCCTATAGTTAGGGTTGACTTGTTATGCTGCTATAGACTTAGACTACTGGAGGACAAACTGACCTCATGTCCTTAAATTAATTGTTAAAATTGAATAGTTTTCATTTGATATTTCTATCTTAACACGTGATTCTTGACCTGCCATTGTGTATCTGTTCCTCTCAAACCCAGCTGGTTGAAGCAGATGGTCGCTTGTCCTGAGTCTGGTTCTGCTAAAGGTTTCTTCCTCATGAGGGAGTTTTTCCTTTCCACTGTCGCCTTCATGTTTGCTCAAGATGAGAGTTCTGTGATGGATTTAACTCAAAGCAGTCTGCTCCTCAGATAATAATAAATAAAGTTAAATTATTATTTTTATATATAAATGTTTCTGTTCAGTGCCATGAGACGACTTCTGTTGTGACTTGGTGCTATAGAAATAAACTGAACTGAATTGAAGTCTACTTTAAAAACCACAACATAGTCTGTTTCTTTTTTGCCAAAACAAGAAGAAATGTGAAGTAACTCAAGATTTGTTCAGGACTGTGTGAAATTATTTGCTTTGTTGTTGTTGTTGTTGTTGTTGTTGTTGTTGTTGTTTTTATGGACAGGTCTGAACAAAAAATGTAGGATATAACAAGCAACACGGCTCCTCAGCTGTGAGAACTGGAGAACTTGGGTGCAAAGTTTGGGTTTAAAATCTTTTTTTTTGGTCTTGAAATCATATTTATTTCTGGAGTAAAACAAACATCTGATTTTGTGAGTTTCCTTTGAAGCTATAGATGTCAGTAATTCTAATATTAAAAAATATTTTAGAGCAGTAAACATCCCATCTTTTTTATTCTTTGTTGCATCAATAAAACATTTGTATTACTAAAAATAAGAATACTATTATCCATTCATACCTTTTATTCCCAATTATTCTCCAGTATCATCCTGTTCTCCTTTAATGCGTTAGCCTCCCGCGCTGTCCTTTCTTTCTTTTGTTAACTTGCGAGCGTTTTGTGTTTCGACTGAGCTGAAACAGCTGGTCTGTAGCTGTAACGGTGAGCCATCCCTACCCGGGTACATGATGCAGAACAGGCAGTGGAAACAGAGCTGGAGAGAATGGCCGACCAGCCAGGGGCCACCGTGTTGACTGTAAACACTGCCTGTGCCCGCTCGGCACAAGAGGGGACAGAAGGATTCCTTACACACTCACTTACAGGCGCAGTGCCACTCCAGCACCTGATGTTAGACCCCGAGGCTGAAAACACACACCTGGGTTGCTCACATACATTAACCAGTTAAAGACCGAGCGCAAGAGGTTCTCGTAAACCATTCGGTGCTGGTTTGCTTCATGTGACTTTAATAAAACACACAAGCGACCGATGTGCCATATTTCTCACTTTTATGTTTTTCTTATCTTCAAAGACCTAAAACAATTTTCATATATCATTAGTGTGTGTTAAAACGTGAAATGCTACAAGTACTATGTTTTCTCATGTCAGAACTGTGCTGGTGTCTGTGGTAAACATGACGCAGTTTTCCATGTCTTTTCCCTTCAGGCTGATAAAAGAAGGTGTGGATCCAAATCACCGTCACCGTCTCGGTTGGACCGCACTCATGGTGGCAGCGATGAACCGTCAGCACAGGTCTGTGATAGTTTCTTCCAGCCAGACCACCACAACGAGCCGTCTTTAAACTTCTGACACGCTCCCCTTCCGTTAACAAATGACACAGTGATGTAGTGGTTTGGTGTTGCACAGCTGTCGGTGTTGGTTAGCCTGCGAGCAGATGTCATCCATGTTCCAGCTGTAGTTCTTACAGTACCTCCTCAGAAGCGCAACTTTCAGACTGACAGACGGCATTTACCCGGACCCCCGTCTCTCTGTCCAACAAATTAAATTAGCCTCCTGGCCCACAGAACACACACAACACGAAGGGGGCCGAGGTTAAGGCTGGGCCAAATCCAATTTACTAAGCTTTTTTTTTTTCCTTCATCAGGACTGTGTGGTCACTTTTTTTGTTAAAGGCTCTCCATGAGGGAAAAGCATTATTCAGCCCTCTGAATATAAAAATAGCTGAAAAGGACCGTCTTTTAAATGACAAAGGTTTACTATTTAAGGATTGAAGGATTTAAACATTTTCTTTGTCCATTTTCAAATGTATTCTGTGTGATTTCTAGTTATTAATATTTATAAATTAACATTTTTGAAAATAATCTAAACATTAATAGTTTTAATTAGTTCTTATGATTTTCTGCAGTTTTTCAGGTTTTTTTTTTCATGGATAAATGATTTTGTTGGGATTTCTTTTCCCCCTTCTGTAACATAGTCTCAGAAGTGTATGCAGTTATTTAAACATGGCGCAAAAAGTTAAAAAAAAATGTTTGGTAGATTATGTCAGTGTTGTAGCAATTTTTCTTGTCAATTAATCTTATATCTTTGGAAAGCCTGTTTTTCCCCTTAAATGGCTCCACATTTGTAAAGAAATGCATTTCTGTGTTGAACAGCAGAGATAATGAAGGCTGCACCCACGAAACACTTAAAATCTTCTTTATTGGCCACGCGATGCTTTAACTTTACATGCTGGGAGCTGGCTGGTAGTCGCAGTCATACGTGTCACATTGTGTTTCATGGCATGTTTTTCTGCACGTCAAGTGACTTTTGGATACAAATTTAATTGTATGTGTTTTGGCGTCTCTGCCCATTGTCTGTGTTTGCCTGCACTGTCTTTGTGTGTGTTTGTGTTATGAGTGCTATAACTCAGCGAGACAGACACTCCTCTGTGTTTAATCCCGTCTTCCAACCCCCCAATGAGCCGTCACTGCTGCAGGGAAGACAGAACATGGGTCCACACACATCACTCATATCTGCGCACACACACACGCGTTCACACACAAATACACAAGTGAGCAAACGAGGGGAGGTTATACCAAATATCTTACAGGCCAACTGCCTATTACTCAGCTGCGCACAACTTTATTTGCAGCCAGTAAGTGAAAACACCGGGAACATTACTCATGAACAAGGTCTAGCCTGTAGCTAGAATGTCAGTTTGGATCTCATTCTTGAGTTATGCATCTCCTCACTCAGTATTTTTATATTTTCCTGGATGAGAAATGCTATTTGTAACTTTGTAGGTGAAGGATTTCACCACCCAGTTAAAGTTGGTGTAGCCTGAAGGAGGCTCTTGTATCCAGGGGCTGGGGTGTGGCTGTGCAAGAGAGTCAGGGTGGAGCTCAGGGGTGTGTGTTTGTAAGAATTAAGGGTAAGACGTCGGGGAGGGGGCGTGTGTTTGCGTGGCTTTGATGTAAGGTTAAATCGGGGAGGTGTATGGCCTGGACCTCTGTTTACACTCTCTAATGCACAATACCCATCTCCATCGGTCTTTTTCCTCCCTCCATCCCTCCCTCGCTGCTTTCACGTGCACAATGAGCACTCAGTCAAGTGTAACGTCTGTTGTCCATCCAACCTGCCGACCAAGTGACCCGATGGGTGGGAGTGGGGTAGAGATAAGGGGAAGGTGGAGGAATGAGTGCCTTCTTTGGGGAAAAGTTTCTTTGAAATGGAATATGATGTGAAGTGAGATTATCTGGTGAAAAATGGTCATGATTGGATGGTCTAGTCAGTGAGATGATCTGTTTGCATATACGGAACATGTTTATTATAAAATTAATTTTATAAGGAATTTTGTTTTGCGTTTTGTGTAGGAAGATAAAAAAGCACTAAGACATGTAGCTATGCTTCTTGAACCACTTGCAGATAATCAGTAGGGAACTGTGTGCTCTCTGTCTTCTATCATATTGAATATAACCCATAATGCATCAGTCATGCACATAAGAACTCTAGTTATATTACACATTACTGTCACAGGTATAATGACATTTTCCTTTAGGATTTAAACAAGTCTTTCAAATCTTATTTTACCCACTATTGTAATTTTATTATGTAATTTTTAGCTTTATGAATTAAAATACTTGATTTTTTTTTTAATTTACAAAATTAAATTAGTCTTCTACAAAGGTACAAGGGAATTTTAACCTGACTACATAGAGAAATTCATTTAAGAAAGTTGAATAGACAGGCTGACATGACATCTCTGGTTTTACCTGTTAGCTGTTTTCTATTTTTAATTACAGTGAGAGAGAGAAAAAAACAAGTATGAAGAAAGTATTCCTGTCTTTTATCTGACCCCAGGTGTGTAGCAGGTGAGATGGGGTCAAGTGAGCTCCAGCATCTAGGCCAGGTGGTCGGAGACATGGATGGTCAGTTCAGCTCAGGTGTCTATTATAAAACAAGAAAGACAGAAGTGTCTGCTTCCTGTCTCCCCTGCTGGACCGGATTGGAAACCAAAACTCAGGAAGAACACGGTGGTTAGAGCTACCAGCTGTAGATCATGAAACACACTGAACGTTGAGAGACCACAGCTGTTCAATATGAAATCAGAACAGTGAAATGGGCCCGGTATGTTAGAACTGAACGTTCACAGACTTCTGCTGATGAAAAGTCCTTGACTCTTTAGCAAGATGCTAACTCTTCTTCGCTCTAGTTGGGATGCAGCTGGGCATGAACTTGGGACATTCGTCTTGAAATGGGCGGCACTATCGACCACCGAATGAATAATTTTGCATTTGAGGACCAAGGAAAAAAGTCTGGGGGGAAACAAAACAAGAATCCAGCAGTTCAGTCAAATACAGCCTTTTCTTTAATATAGTGATTGTGCCTAAACTGTTTAAGAGTGTAAAATAGGCAACTTGGACATGGAGGATTAAAAGAATGCCTGCAAATAATGTTGTTTTCCACTTTGAATGTTTTGTCTAAATTTCCATAATTATCCCTTTTTTCCTGTCATTTGAAATTAACGAGCCTTCAGTTTGACCTCAGATTACTGCTGTAGCTCTCCTGAATATCCTAAATAAAGTTAACCACTTGATCACCAGTTGATTAGTAAAACTATAAACTGTTTTCAAAAGCTCGTTAGTTTTAGTACTGTCCTACATAATTAAATCTCTGTCTCTTTTATCTTTTTAACATTGTTTTCCTCTTTTCATCACCTTCTCCTTCTCTCTGGAGTCCCCCCCCCCTCTTATTTCCCAGTGTTTACCTTCCTTATGTCATTAAGTCTTTTCAGACCATCTCGTCTCTTCACACAGTCCTGCCCATCCTCGTGTGACCAAACTTAGTTTGAGTTTGTGTGTCTGCGTCTCACAGGATGCACTGACATGTTTGTAGAAGTGCTTGCAAGGGTGAGAGGAGAGCCCTCTGTAGGTCATGCCCCCCACCAACCTACCCCCACAGTGATACAGTAACAAAAGGGGACCTCCCGATAGTCCTTTTATAACCCCTCAGCAAGGTCACATACGAAGACCTGCCCAAAATGTTCTCAGCCCCCGTCTCCCACAGGATTGCACATCATTTTCTTTGATGATGATGTCCACTATCTAAACTACTGCAGATCTGATTTATTTTGTGGATGAAGAGATGAGGAAATAAAGAGGAAACCCAAGCCTAAATTTTTGTCATACCGTTTTATGTTACCAGATTTTGTTGTCCTGTCGCGGAGTAAAGAGGGGAAATGGAAATACCCTCTCTTGGTCTGTCCGTCCATCTGACTTGTGAGCTTGATAAACTTAGAAAACAAGTGAAGTACCAACTTCTGTTTTAGTATGCGGCTGCATTTAGGTGTAAGACATTTTCTTCTCAAAAATTGAGTTGCCATGTCCAAATCCAAGGTTGGTGCCACCAAAAATATGTGTAAATCAGTCACTCCAATCATTAGAGCAAACTATGCTTTCTAGTTTCTAGTGGGACGACTGTGGCTGAATGGTTAGAGCAGTCGTCCTCCAATGCGAGAGTTGGGGGTTCGAATCCACCAGCAGTTACATGCTGAAATGTCACTGGGCAAGACACTGAACCCCTCATAGCCTCTGATGTGTGTCCCATCGGTGTATGAATGTGATCTAAAACACTGATTAGTCTCATTTGAATGATTTGTTCAATTAGCTTTGTAGAGATCTAGTAGAGTGCTGTATGAATGGGTAAATGAGGCACTGATTGTAGTGTAAAGCGCTTTGAGTATCTTGACATAAGATAGAAAGGCGCTGTATAAGTACAGTCCATTTACCATTTATAGTTTTTATATTGCCTAAAAGTATAGTTTCCTGAGATGATTGAGGTGGCCTGTGGGGTGGCTAAAAATTAATATATGTTGGCCAAGACCACCAGTGGCCACCATCTGGCTCTGCCATAGCACCTGGTCACGGGTAAAATGGCGTTGATCAGAGATGACGTCACAAGAATTGCGGGGAATCCCCAAAGTCCCAGATGTTGGGCAAACAATACAGCAGGCATCTTGCATAATGGCTACCTCCAATACTTTTGTCCACATAAACTTAAATGAAGGTGACGTTCCCCTGGCCAAAGTCGACTTGGAATATATTGAAGGATACGCAATGCACAGCTGAAGTGCTGGGTACAATACAAGGGACTGTAGTGTCTGGCAACCAGGTCGAATTAATAAAGCACGTGTGGCGATCCTGGTGTTTTCATGTTGATTCCTGCTCTTCTGCCTCGATAAAAAAGAGCACAGACATAATATTTCACGTAGGATGCATGCCATTGATTCACCATGTATTGCATAGGTTTTCGGGGGCAGGATGAAGAACGATTTTGCCAGCTGCTTCTTTTATTTTTCTTTGTTAGCTGGTGTTAGCCATTAGTTGTTAGCAATCAGTTATTTTACTCTGTTTTCCAAAAGTGAAAACGTTTTAATCAGGGGCTGAATTAAGCGTCTAAAAGGACAAATTAGTACAGGCGGGTTGAAAAAGACGTTCAGTTCTGTTAGTTTCTGACACGAATGGAAAACAAACGGATAAAACATAATGGATGGATGGACATACCTGTTCAGGGACTGCAGTCGCTCGTATGGGATCAGGGGGCTCCTCCGTCGGGCCGATCCCTTCAATGAAGTGTTTCAAACTGATGAAAGTTCTCCTCTTTACATTTGTCCAGTTGAAGCCAACTCAGCCACAGAGTCCAACCTAATGATCACATTTCTCTCCGAGTAATCGGCTTTGGAAACGGCATGAACCGTGTACTTTGCTTTTGAGGCTTGTCAGCATATCGTCTGTCACTATTGCAAGTCTTGTAGCAACAAAGCTTTAAATCATTTTTCTTCTGCTTTTTTAAAATTTCTTTTTTAAATCAGCATGAACCACAGCTACAGCGCTGTATTGCATTGTGCTTGCTGGACATCTGGGTACTCGCTGACGTCACGTATTTCGTAGGGAGCTATTTTTAGTAACCCCGATCAGCGCTATTGCTCCCCCCACTTGCTAGGATCCATCACTCTGTGCTGCCTCGGACCAGCAAAAATAAAAACCTACCTCTCTTATACATATAACTCGTATCCACTTTAATATCTTGCACCAAAATGTTAAGATTCACTCATTCCCTGCTTAGTTCCAGTCCAGAAAAACACTCATCTCGAAAACTACAAACATTCACTATTCAAATGCCTCAGCATATGTTTATATCAGAACTAATTGATAGTCTACATTTTTTCTAATTTCCTTACTCTGGCTTGTCCAAGCCTTAAATTATATTATGTAATTGTAATGTTGAGTTAGACAGATAATTTAAAATTTATTTGTTTATTAATTATAAATACTATAGGGTATAATAATACAGGAACAAATGCAGAACATAGTACAGATTGAAGGCTTTTTAAAAATTATTTTAAGAATGCATATCCCCCATGGCTTTTTGATGCCAGAGTTTTAAATTAAAATCATTTTCTAGAGTAGGGATGGCGTTCTAGCCAATTATTATTTTTTGAGAGCTTCAGTAAAGGCTGGTCAGTCAGGAGATATTTTACTAACGATGCAGATGAACACATAGGAACACATGCAAAAACATTATTTTAATATTTCTTTTAAATTTAATAATTTTATTTTTACCCTTTCACCTTTGGCAATAGGTGATGATAATAAAATTAATCTCCAATTATAGTATTGTAGTATTTATATAAAAATTTCAAGTTGCAAATATTTTAATAATTATTTGCTAGGTGTTTTATCTAACAGGCAATTTGATAACTATTAGTATATTATTCTTTTGTGAAAAAATGTCCTAAATTCTATGTATTATTTTTACATGTGCTGTCTTGTTCTAATCAGTATCATCAGGCATTGTATATATTTTTTTGTGTGTGTATGAAATGACAGATCTTCATATTGTGTGGTCAGCGCTCTTTAAATAAGAGCTTAGTTTTTACATAGCCTGTAATCTATTTCATTTTCAAGCGTAGTTACTTAAAAAAAACTAGTTCTTCTCATCCTTCCATGAATAATGATGTAACTACATTTAAACCCTTTCAGGCCATTTGTACAACAATTCACTGCAGAATGATTCCTCTCTCCCTCGCAGGTTGCATTACTCGGTCACAGGTTTAATGGAAGCAGCAGCGGCAGGCAGGGTTCATGTTTCGGCCAGCCCCTTGCAGTCTGCACACTCTGTTTCTGTGTGTCTGTGTCTCAGTGTCAAAGCCAATGCTCACGTTCACGGTGGCAAACACAACAGTGTGGTTCTGCAGAGAGACGGCACCTGAAATATCCGCTGGGTCACAGTGAGTGGTGTTGCCGAGGTGGTTTGTATTTGCTTTATAAGGGGGTACGCTCCAATGAAGGGCAGCACACATACACCCGGACCCCCCCACCGACAGTGCCGGAAATGGGTCCGACCCTTGCCCCTTCAATGTGTACATATGTGTTAAGACAGACGAATGTGGACTGAAGGGGGAGAAAAAGGGAAGAGCCCATTGTAGTGTATCCACCATAACGGGACAGAACAAGATGGAAGGAAATCAGGTGAAAATGTCAGTGTCGGTCGAGGAACTGGACATTTGCATTTGTCTGTTTTCAAACTGCAGCGATGCAAGAGAAGGTCAAAGTTACGTTCAAAAGTGAGAAAAAGTCTCTTCATGGTTCCAACGCCAGTATTCATTCATCTTTTTTCAGCAGACGAAAAGTGCTGTTGGATGGATACCTATTTATTGTATACGCATTATTTAAATGTATTAAATTACTTTCTTGTGTTTTTAGGAAATGGAACAGACGAGCAATTTGACATTAAACACAACTGTGTTACAAACTAGTCTAATGAAATTTCATTTAGTGTTCACTAGTGGCAATTTTAGCCTCTTTTTGGGGGTTCTCAAGCACCCCATAATTTTAACTCGGCACCCCTGAAAAATAAAGTTAAAAAATATATATATGTATATATTTTTTTTGTGTGTGTGTGTGGGGGGGGGGGTTCTGGGTTTGGGTTCTGTTTATTGCATTTATGATTCAATGCAACAAAATCATTTAACACTAAACTGGTTTTTGTACAAAGTGTTAGGTTGTGTGATGTAAAGCAGAGCACTACGTTTTTAGCATCTTAGCTAGCGCGTCTGTATTGCATGCCGCTAGCTTAGTGCTACTTCTTGTTGTGCCGTGCTCTCTAAAGTAGTTATTGAATAAAGTGGTTACTAATGTAGGTAAACGTAGATGTTTAACAACTCGTTAAAATACACCAGAATGCAAAATGGCATCTACTTTATTCAAAAAATTTCTGGGGGAGGCCCCCCAGACCCCACACCCCCAACATTATGTATGCATCTGAAGCAATGGCCACCACATTGTTCAAACCAAGAGACATTGTAAGCACTGGGGGCTAAGCACCCCTAAAGGGCATATGCTAGAATCGCCCCTGGTGTTCACAAAACAGGGGTCCTCAGATCTTTACCTCCAATATTTACAGACATTGTGGAACTAAGGAAAAATATAAGTTTATAACAGAATAGAAAATGTTACACAGATAACACACTGAAACTGAGACAAATGTAAGTGGAAATAAAGTGTGTGAAAGAAGATGGAAATAATGTGAATCAGGGCAACATGAGACGGCAACATTTTTTTCAGTGTTAAAAATTTTTTGTCATGTTTTAGTAAATTTAGTACTGAAAGTGTCTAGTAATGTGGTTGTCAAATGTAAAGAGCATCCTAGAGATGTTAAGTGTTTCATCTAAAAAAAAAAAAGACTGAGCAAATTTAATTTTAAAATTTAATACATAAATAGTTTTAATTCTAAGTAATTTGGAGTAATGCATAAAATCATCCAAATTAATATAAACTATTCATTATCAATATAATTATAGGAACTGAATTGTAAAGTTTTACCTCATACCAGTGTAAAAACAGAAATGTAAAAATAAAATAACTGTGGCAGGAAACCAGTCCAGCTTTTACTGCAAGGCAAAAGTATTGAGCGTGTTTAAAATCTGCTGAACTCATGTTTCTAAATCCATGTATCTGTGAGAGACAAACGTCCGCGCAGAATCTTACGTGTTTAAACGCGTCCCGTCCTTTTTCTTTTTTCTTTCTAGTGTGGTGAAGGTTCTTCTCCAAGCTGGTGCCGACCCGAACGCCGGGGATGACTTCAACAACGTTTACGACACCTCCCGGGAAAAAGGCATCCACTCACTAGAAGGTGGGGAAAAAACTTCCCAGCTGCGTTTGCCTGCGCGGTTGGTTTATTACGCACGTTAACTCGCTGATATTAGAAGGCGTTATTATTTGCATAAAAATTTTACATTTATGCACATGTTGTGTATTATTTATTTCTTATATTCTGTGACAACTAATGTATTTTTTATTTGTTTTTCCGTCGGGCGACACAATCACACAAACGAATGCATGCGTGATGGCACATACACATATGCTCTGACACTTTGCCCATCCCCCCCCCTCCAGTCTGTGTTGGGTTTCTGCAGACATATTTATATGGGATATGTATATTGCAGACATTTATATGGCTGTCAGGTTTGGGTCCACGTGGGGCCGGCGTAGCGTGGGGAAGCGTTTCCCAGACGCACACTGATGGATGGGCTAGGGGGGTCTATGCGACGCTTTATTGGGTTAGCTATGATTATCCCACCCTGTGTTTCTCTCACACACACACACACACACACACACACAGATAATGCAGAGGCTATCAGAGAGAAAAAATGAAAGACTGATGAAGCAAGTAAAAAAATGATTTATTTGAAAAAATAAGGATGAAAAGAATGTTAAAGATGGAAAAGTAGGATGAAGATGTGTATGTTTAGGAAGTGATGGAGGGAAGGTTTGAAGGAAAAGGGTGGGATGCTGAGGGAGGGAGAGGAGAGGTCAGGAAGAAGATGAGACAAACTTATGGGAATGGAAAAAGAGAGGAGGGAGGAAGAGAGTGCAGGTGATGAAAGATTTTGATGGACAAGAGAAGAGCGAAAGGAGACAGAAAAAATAAAAATGGATATTGGAGAAGTGGCACAAGACAAGTCGTCTTGTGAAAAATAAGTAAGGAGAGGATGATCAAGTAACTTCACTATTACTAAGGATCAGAGCAAGAAACACTCCAGCTTGGATTATTTTCATCGTGTTAGACGTTGTAGCTCATATTTGGGTAAATGAAGAGCTTTTCAAAAGGTTTGAAAAGAAAAAGTTGATTTTGAAGGAGTCACTGTTGCTGAAGCCTAAACAGTAAATGTGAAAGAAAGCTCCTCTGGATTCAAGGGAGAGCCCCAGTCCCTCCTACAGGAGTTAAATTGCTTGTTAGGTTTTCCACTGGCAAAAAAATATATATAGATATGTATCTCTGCCTCCTCTGTCAACCTTTACAGGATCATCAAAATAAAATTCACACAATTGTGATCTGTTTTGTTTCTGCACCTAATTGTATTTTATTTTTTTACAGTCTTGGTGTCCAGGGAGGATGAGTTCAGCAGCAGGCTCAGCAGCAGAGCCGGTTTCCGTGGCTGCACCGCGCTTCACTACGCCACACTGGCTGATGATCCACACGCTGTCCGCATGCTGCTGGAGGCCGGTATGTTGTCACTCAACCAGAAACATCATCCCATTCAACCTGACCTCAATCTGGACCAGTCAGGATTGTTAAAGAAGTGAAGTCAGGAAGCTTCCTGCTGCAGGCCGTTTTCTGTTCAAGTGTATGCAGTGACATTGTTAAATCATTGCTATGAAATTGATATGATTAATTTCATCCATCTTTAGGTTTTGATTCTAGAATAACGGAAAAGGTCATGAAGTTAAGATATACTCTGTAGAAAAGAAGTTATTTAAACTTTAGGGCCTCCCTACAACTTGTATATTTAGGAAGGGAGCCAGTGAAGAGAGGACAAAACCAGTGAAATAAATGGAGTGAAATTTTAATAAAGTGAGGTTAAAGCAAAACATAGTGAGGAACTTTCCTTGTTACAACTTAAGGATGACCAAATTAGGAGGTGTTAAATTTAAATTTATTTTTGGCTGAAAAGAACTATTGCACATTGTTGAACATGCATTTAGCATTTCATGGGCTAAAAATAATTATCACTTATTATTATAATTTATTTATTTTTTTACTTTCTGAAATTATTTTTTAGCTGGCCATGTACAGCTCAATAACATTTATGTTCAGTTCATTTCAAGATGGCTGCCACAGCTTATTGACATCAGCCAACACATAAATGACAATAACTGAGTAAATTCTAAGAGATATGTAGCAAATGTAACTGTTAATGTGAAAGGAGCTCAGAGTCATTCATAATTAAATACTCTGAGCTTGACATTTCACATCACATGAGATTGTAGATGGGTAATTTCAAGGTTTGACCAAAACTGCACCATCTTCATTTTTCAATAAGAGATGATCTCAGTCTAAAACATTATACATTCCTTCAAGGAGTTCATTCAGTTGTCCATTAAGTTCTGTGTTCAAACTTCGTCTGGAAAACGCATCAAATAGTTTCAAGTGCATCATTTTTAAATCGAACTTTAGCCTAATTCAAGTTTCCTAATTTTACTCTACAGACTGAATCCTTGAAAAAAGTAGTCCATGCATTCGTTACAACCCGGCTGGACTACTGTACCTCGCTTTGTGCTGGGGTCAGTCAGGTGTTCCTTTCACATCTCCAGCTCATCCAAAATGCTGCAGCTCGGCTATTAACACGAACACGTAGGTTTGAGCATATTTCACCAGTTTTGTCCTCCCTTCACTGGCTCCCTGTGTGTGTCAGAATTCAATTTAAAATTCTCCTGTTGACCTTTAAGTGCATTAACGGCCTTGCACCCTCATGTCTCTCTGGACTACCTTATGTTCCTTCTCGGGCGCTGAGATCATCTGATCAGCTGCTTTTGTTTTGTAGTCCCTTGTTTATCGCAGGGGTTCCGTACCCTGCCCCTCCCCCCAATTTAAATTTAAATACTGTAACATTTTAAATAAACAATCCATTGTTTATTTCAAATGTTACAGTATTTAAATTGTAGAGAAGAGAAGCGCAGCAGGACATCAAAGGGATGTCACACAGCTTCAGCTCTACAGCACGGAGCAGAAATGTACTTCTTGATCAATTACACTGAAACAACTGAACATAGACGTTCTAAAATAATTAAAAATAACTTTTAACACTTTTATATTTTGTGAATATGACGATTTTATGATGTGACGTACTTTGAGTTTTAAGTTGGAAGACAAAAGTCGTTCGGTGCATCTGGACAGCAAAGGGTTAACCTTCACCAAGCCGAGGCAGGAGAAATATGTGTGGCACAGAGCAGAGATCATGACAGGCTGCAGGAGGGAGCTTCCCCTGCACTTATGGGCTACACACATGGTGCAAAATCCATCCTTCCATCCATTATCTTTACCCGCTTATTCCATTTTGGGTCACAGGGGTCGCTGGTGCCCATGTCCAGCAATCACTGTGCGAGGGGCGGGGTACACCCTGGACGGGTCGCAAGTCCATCACAGGGCCACATAGAGACAAACGAGACAAACAACCATTCACTCTCCCACTCACACCTAGGGACAATTTAGAGTTACCATTCAGCCTAACATGCATGTTTTTGGTCTGTGGGAGGAAACCGGAGCACCCGGAGAAAACCCACGCATGCACGGAGAGAACATGCAAACTCCGCCCAGAAGGCCCCTGGACCGGGGTTTGAACCAAGGACCTGCTCGCTGAGAGGCAGCAGCTCTACCAGTTGTGCCACCGTGCTGCCCTGGTGCAAAATCATTTAAAATAATTTATTTTAAATAAACAACCCATGGCTCATCCATCAATCAACCAATTGTGTCTGGTCCAATCTTTTTTTTGAAAAACTGCAATATAGCGAATCTGCAAAAAATGAACCGTGAAGTTGCATGGGACTACTGTACAACAACCAGGCTGAAGCTCAGAGGAGATCAGGCTTTTTCAGTCATGGGCCCTAAACTCTGGAACAATCTGCCCCCCAACATTAGACAGGCCACTTCACTTCCTGTTTTTAAATCTCTCATATAAACACACCTGGTTTCACTGACGTTTAACACAGTAATGGACTGTACTTTTATAGAGCTTTTCTATCTTATCAAGATACTCAAAGCACTTTACAACACAATCTGTGTCCTCATTTAGGGAGCCGAGATGAGGTAGAGGCAGGGCAGCCGACTCGGGACCCAGGTTCGATCCCCAGTCATTGCACATCTTGTGGTGTCTCTGAGCAGCACAACTGTCCCCAAATGCTCCCCAGGCAGCTTTCAGTAGCTGCTCACTGCTCCACCTGGTGGTGGATGAGTTAAATTCAGAGAGCCAATTTCGCCATTGTATGGGAACAAATAGACCTGTCGCAATAAACAATAAATCAGTTCATTGCATGCTAAATGAAAATTGTCAACCTCATTTTCATTTATCGGCTTTATCATTTCTTTGTGTCTCTCTCTTTCTACTGAAGACACTGGATGACAAAAAGATCAACTCCTGTGCTCTTCACTGACCCCTCCCTTTCTCTTTTTTCTCTTTTTTTTTAAAATCCATTTTAACTGTCCAAAATCACGTTTTTTGATCGTTAAAAGCAGCTAAGCTGGGAGGCTAAGCTACAAACTAAGCTAACAAGTCAACCTCGGGGAAAAAACCTCCGTCTTGTCAAAGCTCTGGAATTCACGGTTGAAACCCGTGCCTTCGTGTAAAAAGTTTTTCTCTGCAAAAAGAAGCTGAGAACTGGTTTACTGATTTTTTTATTAAAAGCTTTGTGTGACAAATGCTATGCTAAAGAGCTCAAACCACACCGAGCGTCCGCCATTTGGAGAACCAAAAAAAGGAAAGAGAGACAGCCCATGTCACGTCAAGGGGCCTCCCTCCCATTTTTCTTAGAAGCACGCTGCTCGCTCCCTCACTAACCATCCTTTGGTTCAAACAGTCTTATACTGCCATCCAGTGGTAAAAAAATGTACTACACACAAAATAGATTAACCAACATTTCTTCTTAAATCTGACAAAAATTACTAATTATTGTCAGATTTCAAACAATATTATCGTTTATTGCAATAATTTCTGAGACAATTAATAGCCCAACAAAATTTGTTATCGTGACAGGCCTAGAAACAAGCAATGATGACACTACATATTATTATTATTATTATTATTATTATTATTATTATTACCCATTCATACAGCACTCTACTAGATCTCTACAAAGAATAATCAGAGCTTTATCACATTCAAACACTGATGGGACACACATCAGAGGCAATGAGGGGTTCAGTGTTTTGCCCAGGGACACTTCAGCATTTGACTGCTGGTGGAATCAAACCCCCAACTCCTGCGTTGGAGGGCGACTGCTCCAACCACTCAGCCACAGCCGCCCTCTACCTAGTATTTCCTTGATTCTCATTGTTTTTACGTTTTTATTTTTGATGCTTTTAATTACATCTTGTTGTTTTTATTTACCTCCTTGATCTTATTGTTAAGCAGTTCGGTAACAGCTGCTGTTTTAAATGTGCTTTATAAATGAATGTGACTTGACTTGAATCTGTCGTTCTGCTTTTTGAGCCAAAGACAGCGTTGCCCTCAACAATTATTTTACGGGTTGTCTGTTAACGGACACTTACAGTTATTGTAACATTGTTTTTATGTGGTCACATGGGAGCTGGTTATAGTCTAGCTGCAGCTGGGAGGTCGGGCCTTTGATGCATCGTGTAAAGATTTTATGCATTTTGTTCATATCTTTATCAGTGCAACAAGCAATTTATTAAAAACTACTTACAAAAACTCGTCTCAACTGCGTTACATGTTACCCTGCCCCCATTAGACTCGCACCTGTCGTTGACTCCGCTCCACCAGCACGCACACATGCACACCCTGAGGGCAGAGCATCCCACTCTGTTTCCAGCAGAGTCGCTTTTAAACAAGCTAGGCCTCGTTGAACTGTGACCCCTCGCACAGAACGTGCCCTTGGGGTATCAGCAACCCCAGTAACCGTGCGTGTGCTTTACGTGAATATTAGATGTAAGCATACACGTTGGTGCACTCACTCACACCTTGTGATTTACTAACATATTCAGTTATTCCTGTCTGCTTTTGTTTTGTGAGCTCCTTCATTCAGCTCGCAGGAATTCATGGTTGCTTCTTTTTAGCCTGATTGGGTCTTTAATCATATGTCTGTCATTTTTAGATGAAATACCTCTAACTGTCTAAAAGACGCACACAAAAGCTGTATTAATGTCTTGTTTATGTTTGTGATTGATGGTGCATCTAAAGTTCTGTCCTCCCAAATCATCCTCGCTCCTGTGACTACGCTTAAACAAATCACTGCGTCTAACTCGATCAAACGTTCTGCAGAAACGTTTTTGAATTAAAAAGGTAAGAAATTTCACAAAGCAGAGACATTCGTTTCAGGACAATCCGATTAATGACAGATTTAGCTGGTGCTTGCCTGACGGTATTTGCTGGCTTGGCGCCACCATCGCAACCAATAAGAGTCGTGACATCACGCCGTATCAGTCCCACTCCTTGCTGGCGGCGTGTCATCTATAAATGCACACAAAACAAATTTTGAATTTTTTTTTTTTTACAACGCTTACATAATTTCTTTTATTACTTTATTTTCTTTAGTCCTTTTTAAGGCCTCTTGTTTGTCTTCTTTTTGCATCATCACAAAAAGTTAATAAATGCTTGATCTTTGGTTATGTAGATTCTTATTTGTGTGCCCCGCTGTCTACACTAAATGTGTTTATAAAGTTGTCTGTCCTTTTACCTTATTTCCCCTGTGTTTCTGTGCACCTACGCTACTCCTTTAGCTGTGGGTTTGCTCTTTTGGCCTAAGCTGGACCTCGGCTCACGTCTCCATTCATCACAGTCTCCCGGCCGACCCTCAGGCTTCCCGCAGTCCCCCACCCTGCCTGCAGAAGCCCTCTCGCTTGTCTCTGAGCTCCACATCAGGCCTCTGGCCAGGGGCACTGACTAATGGGCAGCTCTGTAGGTGGTAGCAGACCAGAAGAGACACACAGATGCACACAAAACAGATACAAGGACGCACACGCGAATAAGTAGCAGCAGGAGCTCTCTCCCACCAGCTGCAGTGAAAAAGAGGGAGGAGGAAATGGAAAAGAGGAGGAACTCCTAATAGGCATAACTAAAGCACTCCTAATGAAGGGATGATGTGTGTGCATGTGTGTGTTAGTGCACGTCTTCAGCTGGGGTGTGTATCTTTTTGTCTGTTTGTGTGACTTTCGTTGATGTTGATCCTGTTATAAAGTGCTGTGGCCCAGAGGGGTTGGCCTGATATTAAAGCCCTAAATGATGCTATTTATTATGTCCAGTGTGTGTGTGTGTGTGTGTGTGTGTGTGTGTGTGTGTGTGTGTGTGTTGTGGGGTACTTTATTGCTTTCCTCCCTCATGTTTTTGTTGGTTGGGGGGAAGTTAGTGTTGTATTGTTGTCAGGATCGATAGCTTTGTGAGCAGGTCATGAAATTTAGGGGTTTATCGATAATCGTGGCAGCAATTATTAGTGTTTGTTTTTGGTGCTCTGAGCAGCACAAAGTGCCATTAACTCCATCGCGTATTTCCCTTTTTTTTTGCTATAAAAAATACTTAGTGGTACAAACTTGTCGTTAGTGAAGGATTTAAATACTCACGTTTTTGTCTAATGTCTCAGTTCAGGGTATAAATTCAGAGAATCTTTTATTAATGGTGTGAACTAGTCCCCAAGTTTTATTAATACTTAAGGGATTTAAAGCCTGGTTTTCAGCAACCAAGTTAAAGCATGCAACATGTCTTATTGTCTCAAAAAACTACTGTAGAAAACTGATTGTTACTTTGAGTTTATTCAGTTTGTCTAAAATCACCGAGACTGATGAGCCATATGAACTTTTTGATGTTCTAATTTCATAAAGATAATACTGAGCGCATTTACAATCCCTCACTTGAAAGTGGAGCACTTTACTAATGAAGATTATCAAAAATTAAACAAATTTTATAAAGCTGTTTACTGGTCTTCATTGATTGACTATAGGGTAAGAATAAAGGTGGTATCACACTGGCCTTCAGCTAGTTGGTGAACCAGTTGGCATTCATCTCCCAAATGTCTCCAGAATGTTCTGCAACTCAACGCAGAGGCGAGCAGCCCTATCATTTGAATTTTGAACGTTTAAAAAAGAAAACTGTGCGTCAACATTTTTCTCGTAATAGTCACAAATTTGTCGTGAACATTTCCAGCCAATCTTGAACCCACCGTAACTGGGTCTCTAACTGGTCTTAAGAGCGCTAGAGCTTTATTTTGACTCCAGCACAGGAGCTCTGCTCTAACACAAAACATCCGAGGCTAATGTCTAAAAACCACGCTGATGATGAAGACTAATATTCAAAAACAGTTCCAGATTGTCTTAACTTTATCTCAAAAGTGTACTCCAGCAAACTGAATCATAAATGTGGCGTGGCTGCAAAGATGGGCAACAAGATAATGTGCGTAGCCAAGAATGCAGTTTTGCAAGCTCTGCATACAAGATTAGTCCAAGACTTTCTAAACTGCCTTGTTGGTCCTTCGGTCGCTAACGCGTGATTCAGTTCAGTTTATTTATAGAGCGCCAAGTCACAACAGAAGTTATTTCAAGGCACTGAACAGAAACATTCATATATAAAAGTAAGTTTAACATTATTTTTCTGAGGAGCAGACTGCTTTGAATATAACTCCTTCACAGAACTCTCATCTTGAGCAAACATGAAGGAGACAGTGGAAAGAAAAACTCCCTCATGAGGAAGAAACCTTTAGCAGAACCAGACTCAGGACAAGAGGACATCTGCTTCAACCAGCTGGGTTTGAGAGGAACAGATACACAATGGCAGGTCAATAATCACATGTTAAGATAGAAATAGTATTAAATAAAAACTATTCAATTTCAATTCATTTTAATAAATGTGGTCAATTTGTCCTCCAGTAGTCTAAGTCTATGGCAGCGTAACAAGTCAACCCTAACTATAGGATTTATCAAAAAGTAAAGTTAATCCCAGTCTTAAAACTGGACAATGTGTCAGCCTTACAGACAGAAACTGGAAGTTGGGGATCTTCCTCCCATTCTGCTTTTGGAAACTCTAGGAACCACAAGTAAGCCTGCAGTCGGAGAGCGAAGTGCTCTGTTATAAAAGTATGGAACAATAAGATCTGTAATATAAGATGGACCTAGGTTGTTGAGAGCTTTGTAGGTTAGAAGTAGAAAAAAAGACTTTCATATATTGTTACTGTAGATGTGTTTTTAGCCCTGATTCTTCTTTTAAAATGTTTTATGGTACTCATAACTTGCTTAGTCTGTAAACATTACATGTGGACTGGAGCATAGTTTTGAGTGTATGTAGTACATTGGGAGTTTCTGTTTTAATAGCAGTACTACAGATTGGTGCAGAAAACGATCTCCACCCTGAACGTCCAGCTGTGGGACACTTTACTCATGCTGTGGCATGATGTTTCTTCTACACTCATTTCCAATAACTATTATATTCCTGAGTTTGACCCCTCGGTTGGGTGGAGGTGCAACAACCAGCAGCATGTATAACCAGTATAATAGTCTGGGGTGTTTATTTATGGGTGGAGGGGTCAAAGTGTTTATTGACACACGTTGCAGATATGAAACCCCCGATAACTGCACTGCATGGTTCTTCTGATTCACCGTGGGCCTCAGTGACCCTTGAACCAGAGTGAAAATTAACCTCACTCTCAATTGACGTTTCAACTCTCCTGCTGAGCTAAAGTCTGCATGTTTTAGAAACTATATTAACACCAAAACGGTGTTTGTTGTTATTGATCTGAACAATTTTATGATCGTTTATAACGTATAACCTGTAAACTTGTATTTTTACGTGCATTCAGGTGCCAACCCCCTGCAGACCAATGGTTTGGGACACACACCACGAGCCTATGCTAAGGAGGGAGAAGTGAGCACAGTGCTGCAGGAGTGGGAGGGCAAGGTATGACACATTCATACAAACACAAACCTCCATTAGATTTGATCTTTTATACTGTATATGCTCTGCAGAATGTTTAAGCAGTTAAAATAAGATTACGCTCTATTCTTACAAATGTCCTTTAACCTGGTCTGAATGACACAGCGCTGCACACTTAACAGACATCTGGCTCATTTATTTGCCGTCCTGCGCCCAGGCAGACACTCCTCAGGAGGTCTGTCTCAGGCGTCACTGACTGACAGGTGCTATTCAGGATTAAAGTAGTGAAAGCTGGTTGAGGTTAACTGGGGTTAAAAACGTGATCTGAGGAACAGAGGTGGCTGATTGATTAGTCTATAGCTAGGTTTAGAAATATGGACACTGATACAATTTTATTATTTCAGCTAATTACCAAATCAAGTCTGTATTAATTCATGTGGGTTTAAAAAAATAATCTCTGCTTTCATTTATAGCAGTGGTCCTCAACCCCCGGACCGCGTACCGGTACCGGTCCGTGGGTCAGTGGGTACCGGGCCACATGGGGAAAATAGTTTTGTTTTGAAAAATCACTGGATTGTCTCTACCACATCAGTCGATGACTCACTCTTGACGCAGGTCAACATGCACAAGTGGTTAGTTTCAGTTTGAGTTCTACATTGCTGGTGAAGAACAAAGCTACGTGGTGTGGAGCAGACAGGTGGAGGTGTGCAGCTGTATCTGTGCATTTTGAAGGTTACACTGCATATTTTTCAACCTGTCTGGCAAAGATTGACTATAAAACTATAACTGAATAAAACTATAATTTTAACAAGCTTCCGAAAATCACATCAGAGCTGTCGCTTCACATTTTTGCTTCTGCTCAAAAAAATCCCTGCCCCTAAAAGTTCAAAGTCATGGGTAATTTCATTATAAAACACAAAAATATAATTCAACGTTTTGCACTATAGGCATAAGTTCCTGTGCTTTTGTGAACAATCTGATGTGTGAATCACTGCAGGAGTTCTCTGAACTGTCACCGAACTGATGAAACAGACGATGATCTCAGCGCATGAAGCTGTGTGTCGTGCAGTCAGAGTGTTTGAAGCAAAAATGTTTTAAATGTTTGTAAAATACACCAGAGTGCAAAAAAAAAGGCGTTTGTGTTAACCACAGGCATATTTTCTTTATGGTGTTAACTGGTTCCACATTGGCGGTGTTTCCATAACTTCTCTTTCCGCCTCTCTTAACACAGAACTTACGGTTACATTTCAAAATAAGAGCAACATAACTGGGTAGTGGGGAGAGCTAAATGTTTGTTTTTTAATACATAGCCATTACATTAAAAAACAAAATCTGTCTTTGTTGTTGAATAATGTGAAAATAGTTACAATCAATTCATAAAGAAAGAAAAATAAAGTAACCAAAATATTAATGATATTTAAACTGACTTTGGGACAAAGGATGTTTCCTTTAACTTCATATTTTCTTGTTCAACCTTTTAAATCAGTCACTGCAGATGAGTGATTGTCAGTTTCTGTCAGATTTCTGCAACTGGAGCAGGTATTTCTGTTTACTGGTTAACTTCCTCAGCTGTCTCACACTTTAAGGGTCAGTCCTACTCCATGTTTCAGTTCCTTTCATAGATCAGATCTCATAGAAGAACTTCTAAAGAGAACATTTTGTCTTTAGCGTTTGTTTTGGGTCATTATCTCGTTACAGGACTCATGATGTTTAATTGAGACCAGACTTTTTGACAAATGGGAGCAGGTTTCACTTCAGATACTTTATATTTCATTGTACCCAGACCACACTCAAGACAACCTGTGTCAGGTTCAGCTACAGAACTAAAGAGAATCTTCTTGTGTTTGACAGCAGATAGAACGCTGGTTCTTAGAAACCTTCAGTTTTAAAAAAGAGCTGACGTGTAACTTACCTAAAGAGCAACAAATACAGCTGCCAATCAGTGTTAGCCCTCTAGATACGCCTATTCTCCAGAAATGCCCACTTTTGTTCTTCAGAGAACCCCTTCTCATTAAAGGTAGTACTGTATATCACTGACTGTGACTAGTAATGAGGGCGTCTTCAGAATGTTGTGCAATGTTTGTGGGTCTTTATTTACTTGTGTGAGTCAATGGAGGCTTCCCAAACCCAACAGAATTTTTTTGTGGGTGTCTCCAGCCCATCTCAAGAGCACTAGAGACACCTGTACGTACCTCTGATAAAAACATCCAGGTCTAAAAACCACACTGATGATAAATAATAATTATTATTAAAAACTAGTTCAAATCTGCCTATCTTCATTTCAGATGTGTTCTCCTACAGATTAAATGGGGAGGAAGCTGACAAACTGGGTTCAAAAATGGCCGAGCTGGGTATGATGCAGGTGGAGGTGGACAGCAAAACGTGCGTGGCCAAACGTGCAATTTTGCACGTCGTGCACATAAATAAAGCCTGTGATTTTCAAAAGCAGGCCTTTAAAGATGCAGCCGCGCTGCTTGTTGGTCATTTGCTTGCAAACATTTTGGATTCAGACTACAACAGAAAAGTTGCCTCTTTTTTCCAATTTTATTTATTTGTTGTTTGTTTTTGCAATTTTGAGTTGCCAACTAGCCTCAGCCCAGAGAGATGCCATCTTTGGCGTTTCTAAACATGAGAAAGCTCTAAGGTTGCAAGCCCTGGGTTAGCTTCAGATGCCACACTTTGAAGTACAAAGAAAAGTATGGGTGAATATACAGTGGAGTTTTTTTTTTTTATTACATTCAAATTGCTTAAAAAGGGGCTTTTACGTGGAAAATAGTTGTCTGCACATATAGTAATATAATTTTAAAAGTATTTACTTCACATTTGTGAAAAGAATGGACATTTTTCAGAAATTTTTCCTATGTTGTTACCACACGCTGATTTCTATAAGAACTGAGCAGTTAAAGTACCTCAGTGTTACAAGATGTGGCACTTTCCATCCGTGCCCTTTACAGGATAACTGTTTTTATTTTCCTATCGCTGACCTCTGTTCTACAGTAACTGCTCTCTGGAGATTGGGAAAGTGATAGGCGTTATTAGATTGTGCAGCTGTTTATAAACCAGGAGGAAACATGTCGCCAAGTGCAAACCTGTGGCATTTTGACGTATTTATCCTAGTTTTCTTTACTACAGTGGAGAGCTAAAGCAAAGAAAAATAAGTACAAAAACATTTTGATGAATAATTGTTAATATTGTGATCAGTTTGTAATCAAGAAGGGAAATATTTGATGCTTTAAATCTTTTTCAAAATACACATTGATGTGAAGGCGTGACCAAAAAGACATTTAAAAACCCTCGCAAGGGTGTCACATGTGGGCCAAAACTACCCAGATGAAAGGACTTGTGGGCCACAAAATGTGAATTTAACTCTCAACGTGAACAATATTTTGGAGAAAGGACAAATTTACTCATTTTGGTGGAGAAAGAGTTTTAAATTATTGTAGATCCAAAACTTAAAAGCCTCATAAACACTAAACTTGTATGTTTTATTGAAAATGATGTGATTTATATGATTTGTTGGGTCTATGTTTGTTGTTTCATTTTAGTCTGTTCTCAGCAACTAAAGTGTAATTTGAGTAAGTGTCCATTTAAAAGGGGTCGATCAGCCTTTTGGACCATGGACGTCCCTAAAGGCTGATCAAAGTTCTGAAAAATCATCCATCTGTCTGTCGCTACAACAGATTCATAGAAGGTTTCATGAAGTTGATCAACTCGTACGCAGATGATACCATGTTGTATTAATTTAAAAATGTTCACTATCCGTCTTGATTATTTTATCAACTACAATATTTAGACAATTTTTATGAATCTTTATTTAAACATCTCCTTTCTGGTAGAAGTCAGTAAAAGTTTTTGGTGCTTTGTACCATGAAGTGAAAATAAAAAAGATTATAGTCAAAGGTTTGTATTTTGTTTAATATTGCTCATTTTGAGAAGATTGATTTTTATCCGTTAATCTAAACATTAAATAAAAAAAAGGATTAGCAACTAATTTGCAGAAAATCTGCATCGACCTCTTAAGTCTGCTGGTCAAATTGATACAATTCTTAAAATGCAGATGTGGGCCGCACCAAATCACTCCAAGGGCCACAAATGGCCCTTGGACCGCACTTTGGACACACATGCAAGTATTTCAAATCTTTTCTGTGTTGTGATAAAATATTAATTTATTTAAATTCAGCACAATCTTTCTGAACAGCTCATTTTAGTCTTTCACTGGTGTATAGTGGTGGAAGTGTGCTCTGCCTTTCCTTAAATAAAACTGGAGTTATCTGGAGTTATCTACCGACCTGACGGCAGGCAGGGGCTAAGCAAGATGGAGGGAGAGAATAAACTGGCTGCCTCCACTGCAGGGGGAAACCGGGAGTCTACGGAGACAAAAAGGAGAAGGATAAATGAGCCATGGGGTGGCTAAGGAGAAAGAAAGAAGCCAAATGAGGAGCACTGAGGAGAAAAACGGAAGCAGAGGCATTAGAGGGAGAGAGTAGGACTAATATGATGTAAACAGGTTAGTAGATGTCTCAAACATAGACGAGGGTTTATAAATGAACAGAGAATTTAAAAACACGCATTTCTACTTTTTCTACAACTAATACAAAATTCTACATGTAGAAATAATAAAGGAAGCTTTGTTACTGTTAGTTTTAGCATTTATTTTGCGTACAGTGATCTACAACACTTTGACTTGGTCAGTTTTACTGAATTCTTTTTCTTTCGGCTTTTCCCTCTTCAGGGGTCATCACAGCGAGTCATCCTCCTCCACCTCACTCTGTCCTCTGCATCCTCTGTCCTCCATGTCCTCTCTACCTGCATCCATATATCTCCTCTTTGTCTTTTTCCTGGCAGCTGCATTTCTCCTACATTCTTCACTTTCCTCTTCTCCCTCTGCCTCCTGACACGTTTCCCTCCTCGTGGTTTTCCACTAACAGTAGCACAATTTCCGCCGGCACCCTGTTTGTCAACAGCACCGGTGGCGGCCGTTGTTAACCCGGGCCTCGGCCGATCCGGTATGGTTTCGGTTTGATGAACTCGCATTATGGTTTTGGCTACAGTGTTTTACATCGGATGCCATTCCTGAAACAACCCTCACTATTTACCCGAGCTTGGGACCAGCACAAGAGATGCACTGGTTTGTGCTCCCTAGTGGCTGGTTTGGTCAGTTTTACTGAATGTTTTTTTTGGTAAAGACTGTCTTTAGTGTTAAATCAGTGCCTTCACATCAAAATGTGAAGCAGTGACATTTTAAACAAAGAACATCATTTATTCTTCTTACAATCTCCGAATATTCCAGTTTGAATAATATATTTTTCTGTTTTGCCTTGTACATTTACCCTCTTATTAATATTTTTTGTTAGAGCTAAATCTGGTTTTGTCAAACATTCTCAGTATTTTTCTCCCCTGCTTCTTTTATGTTTTTTTATCTTCAGTGACCTCAGTTTACTGCAATAGTTATTGACTAAATGTTTTCCCTTCCTGTTTCACTTATTTTAGTTATAAACACACATTTTATAGAGATAAAGGGATTTTTTTTAATCCAAAATTATTTAAATGACTGTTTGAGAAAACATGTGAAGGTGAAGATGTAAATGGGAGAAGAGGATCATTACAAACTTGTTTCTTTCAACTTGATGTACTCTGGTTTTCCTTTTTGCATTTGATTCTGTCTCAAACGACTCACTGACTGACTTGTCCATGTTTTATTTGCTGATCTTCTTTTTTTAATCTTTGTTTAGTTCAAGGAGTTGCAGGCTCGACGAGAGGCAGAGGAAAGGAGGAGATTCCCCCTAGAGAGGAGGCTGAAGGAGCACATCATTGGACAGGAAGGAGCCATCAATACGGTGGCTTCAGGTACACACAGAACATTATTCACAGATATTATTGGAAGTACCTACAAATAGTCCACACTGTGTGTGGGGGGGGGGTGCACATGAACTGATGTTTTTGCATCACATCCTTGTTCTTTGTTTTCTTTCTTATCTGTTTTTGTTGCATACTCCTCCATTCCTCCTGCTCTCCATTCCCCGCAGCAGTAGGCGGGCTCAGACAGACGGGCGGAGGCTGTAATTGGTTAATTGTGATGAATGGGCTGTCTGTCAGGCGTACACAGGTGTTGTGTGTGTGTGTGTGTGTGTTAGAGAGAGAGGGAGAAAGAGCTGAGGAGGTCAGGCTTAGAGCCGCCATTTAACACAATTACGAAGAGAGGAAACATACTACAGACCCCACGCCCCTCCTCCTCCTCCTCTTTCCATCATTCTGTGCCATCCATCTTTCTTATCCCCTCTTTTTGTTTTCTCTTCTCCTTTCACCTGCATTTCCATCCCACCCAAATCTCCTTCACTTCTGTGTCCTTTCCTACTTGTGTAGATGGAAAGGTAAAGTGAAAGTGTGAACTACGTGTTGTAAGATAACTTTAGAAATGAAAAAGAAACAAGCCAAGCTGATGGCAGACAGAGGCAGAGAGCTGAGGACCTGACAGAAAGACAGAGTAACTCTGGCGTACAGAAGAGGAGGGTGGATGAGTTAAAGCACAATAACACAGAAGACAGTAAAGAGCTGATATTACAGCAGGCATCCATGGAGGCCCTGTGCTGTATTGATCTGCAGATGAGAGTGAGACTTAATGTTCAGGAACGGTTCTGCAGCTAAACACAGGGGCCATTTGTTATTTTCATTATATATATATATATATATATATATATATATATATAATTCATTTTTTTTACATTTTTTGTTTAGATTTGTGAAAATAATAAAGTTTTTTCCAAAACTAGAAACGGATATCGCAGTCTGTGATGTGGAGGCAATAACCGGCAGAATAAGCTTCATTCAGCACCTCTTAAATAACTTGAGAGCACAAAGCAGATATGTTCACACACAGTGCTTTAAAAGACTCAGAAGTCTTTACTTGTGATGTCTGATGAAGTAATCGATGTTCTTACTTTGCAAATTTTCCTGAAAGCTATGCAGCACATCCCTACAAGCTAAACGTAAAGCTTATCGATCCTGAAGACAAATTACAGTGAATATACTTACACACTCACAGATGACATATTTCAAGATGACTCATTATCATCATGTGAACATCTGTACCCGTTTCAGCTACTGTTTTAGTTTCAGCGACTGAAACACAAATCAGTCAAACTCTGGGACAGTCTGTGAGAGGAAGTGGAGATCTTGAGATGAGGAAATGGTTCAGGGAAGACATTTGGGTTGTTTTCCAGATAAGGAGGCAACAAATGAGACCGGGATGAAGAGATAAACAGAATAAAAGTGTTACACGGGGGTGGGTAAAGTACTGCAAATGTTAGCTATAGACTGTTAGTTTTTCATTATTGATTAATCTGCCAGTAGTCTGTTAATAATAGTGTGAATGTTTATGAAGCATTCACACTATTGTGATCCGTTTTTCTTCTGTACATTTTTCGACGGATTTCTCGTTCCACAATTTTTGTGCTATTTCAACAATTCATAAATCAAAACGTTCAGCTATTTCAGGACAATCCTGTTATGACTTTTGATATTGATGCAACTTTAGCTTTTTGAAATATTTAACTTTTTCTGCCATTTTTTCCCTCATAGAAAATGAATTGTGCTCATTTTACATCCTTCAAATCTTTAGATCTGTTTACAAGCTTTTACTGCGCCTTTCATATTTTGTTCTGCTTCAGCTTCTTTCAGCTTCCTTGTGCAATTTTTTTAAATAAATCTGCTTTTTTCAGCTACTTTCATCTGTTTTGTGCTCCTTTCAGGTTCATTCTGCTAATTACATTTTTGTGCTTCTTCTAACTTATTTCTGCTAGTTTCAGCTTGTTATGCTCCTTTCAGCGTATTTCTGCTAGTTTCAGCTTGTTATGCTCCTTTCAGCATATTTCTGCAAGTTTCAGTTTTTTCAGCTATTATTTAGCTGTTTCATGCTAATTTAAGATTTTACAGCTAATTCCGTTTTTTTTTTTCAGCTCATTTCAACTTTCTTCAGCCTAGTTCAGCAAAAATAGGCTCTCTCCACTTCCTAGTGCTAACTGTAGCTTCTTTCATCTTTTTTAGGTACTTTTTGACTGTTTTTTGCTAACTTCAGCGTTTTTCAGATAGTTTCCACTTTTTTACTCATTTCTGCTTCTTTCAGCCAAATTGGACAAACGTGTTTTTTCTTTGCTTGCTCAAGATGAGAGTTCTGTGATGGAGTTAAACTCAAATCAGTCTGCTCCTCAGATAAATAATGTTAAATTATTATTTTTATATATAAATGTTTCTGTTCAGTGCTCTGAGATGACTTCTGTTGTGACTTGGTGCTATAGAAATAAACTGAATTGAACTGAATTTATGCTTTCTTCTGCTTATTTAAGCTTGTTTTACCTTTTCTGCTACTTTTTTTAGCATTTTGTGGCTAATTTCAGCCGTTTTCAGATACTTTTAAGGTTTTCATGGTAATTTCTGCTATTTTCAGCCTGATTAATTTTTCTGCTAACTTCAGCTTGTTATGCTCCTTTCAGCTTTTTTCTGCTCATTTCAGCCTTTTCTGCTAGTTCATCTACTTTTTAGCTATTTTGTGCTAAATTTAGCCTTTTCAGCAAATTCCACATTTTTTAGCTCATTTCAGCTCCTTCACTTCCTTATAATGTAAGCTTCTTTCTGCCTTTTCAGCAATTTTTTTGCTAATTTCAGCCTTTTTAGCTAATATCTTTTTTTTTTTTACTGATTTCTACTTACTTAAACCTTATTCAATAAATATGTTGTTTCTGCTTTCTTCTGCTAGTGTAGTCTTGTTCTTCCATTTCAGCTACATTTCAGCATGTTTTTTTTAAATAATTTCAGCTGTTTTTCAGCAAGTTCTTTAGCAATGAGCATTCACACTGCTTTTTCACAGGAAATGCAATTTCTCTAGTTTGCTTTGCTCTAAAAAAGTAATGAAGTATTTAACATCTTCCTAACCCAGATCCATCATGTGAAGAAAAAATTGTTAATTTTTCTTTAAAGTATTTCACACATATGACTTTTAGTACGACGGATGGGCGGACAAACTTTTAGTACTAGAATTGCAGTAACTTCCCATTTGGTTGAGCAGTTTTACTCGTACCTTCAGGTAAATGTTATACATGGAATGAAAAGTAAACTTTCAAAGAACAAGAGGGAGAATAAACACGATTAATCACAGAAAGACGAACAATTCATGATATTTACTGATGCCAGCGATACCTTGTGTACTTTGCCCCAAAGTTTTATTTTTTTATTATTTTGCCTCAAATCTTATTCAAAATAAATCAATAAAATTCAAGTTTAACAAGATCTGCCTCTGAGATGAAAACCTAAAGAGCACAACAGCTTGTGATAGATAATTGGCATTTTCTTTATAAATTACTAAATGATTTCTAGTTAGGTGTTTGACAAACTGTTTTATACTACGTATTGATCAATCAAGTTATTGTTTTCATTATTGTTCCTTTAAATCTGTAGCATGTGAGTGCAAAAAGTAATTTTGCAGATGGTTCACCGAATTGATTCTTTGTAAAGTTTCTCAGAGCCGACATCAAGAAAAGAAATTAAAAAATAATATTTAGTGTGGTGTCACGTCTTGAAAATGTCTGTTTCTCCCATAACTCCTCATGACAAACAGCTGGCCTACAGCGAGACACACACACAGACTGCAAATGCACATAAACACACACACACACACAGGAAGGAGGTTAGATTGATCCAGGTTTAGCTCTCAGGGCTAAGAGTTATTGAAGAGAATCATCCTTCTGTAATCATGTTAGAGCCAACCAGACCTGCAGAACACACACTGCCGTGCGTGTGTGTGTGTGTGTGTGGGGGGGGGGGGGGTTTAAGCAAGCCTTCATTTGTTTTGTGTCCCTTTCCTTCTTGTTGTCATGCTCCTCTCAGAAATGTCAGTGTGCCCTTCTGTCAAAGTCCGTCCCAATCAGCTAAAACACGCCCGAACACGCTGAAGGTTACGCTGTCATTCACGCAGCCATGGAGAACGCAGACAGAGCTGTGGAGCCCCTCTTGTCACTATTCATCTCCGGCTCCATCTGTGATACACTCGTTTGTTTCTTTGCCTCATTCTCTGTCTTCTTATCTCCATCGCTCCTCCATTTTTCCAGTCCTTATCTCCTCCCACATCTTCACTTCTCTTTCCTCTCCTTATCTTTGTTCCTCCCTCTGCCTCCCTGCCTCTTCTCTTCTGCTGCCAAACATCTGCTCTTTGGTTATCAGCTATTAGTACCTAGTTTAGCGCTTGTGTCGTGTGTCACAGATGTCATGTGTGTGGTTTGATATCCTGGCCGCAGCATGCAGTGATTTGTTGTGTTGGTTGTAGATACTTGGAAAGGAAACTTCATTCAGTTTCCTTTTGGCAATTTGGCCTTATACGTTTATTTTATGTAATGCACATTGTTCTACAAACTGCATCTGAGGGAAGTGGAAATACTCTTCGTCTGTACCTGCGTGCACGTTGTGAGCATGAAAACTTGAAAAATAAGACGTACGCTGACTTCCATTTGGGCGTGTGGCTGCATCTAGGCGCAAGAAAATTTCCTTTTTGAAAATTGGATTTCCACATCAAAATCCAAGATGGCTGGAAGGCTATACTTTTTAGTCTGTATATTCCTTAAAAGTATAGTCTTCTCAAATTATTGAGGTGGCCCTTGGGGTGGCCGAAGATTAATTTATGATGATAAAAGACACCATTGGCCACCCCTTGATTCCAATATTGTGCCTGGTCATTGATAGAATTGCTCCCTCCACTCTCCAGGATCCATCAGTCTGTGCTGCCTGGGAGAAGAAACAATAACTAGGGATATCCTGATGCATGCTCAATAACTAGGGAGTGGTGGTGAAGAGGTTAGAGA